CACAATAATGTCAGAGTTGATGTGTTGGAAGCTAATAGTTACGCAGGTGGTACAACCGGGGCGACACACCTATGCAATGAAGCTGGGTCATCAAGCATCTTTATACAGATGATGTGGTGCCTTGGGAGAAATGCACTTTTACACTGATCGTAAACAGTAGGGTGATAATTCAAAAGTTTTGTTTTATTTTTAAACTTTTAATATAAGGAGAATTTGATAAATTGGACTCATTGGACATGGTAAGATTTCTGTAATATTATGAAACAAAACACGGCTCTTCATAATTTCGTGGGGTCCTTAACTAGTATTTTACAAATCGCTTGCGTGTTGTAAATACATTCTGACAGGGATTATAAAAAATATAGAGCCTTAAACAAAGTTATATATTTTTACCTGATTTATTTTCTCGTCAAAGGTTTATCTAATTGCTATAAATGTGAACATTGTTATGGATACCCTGCTGTAAGACAACATTATACACATATGATTTTGTAGATAATAGGTTTGAGAAAATATTTGAAACTGTTTAATAGATAATTTCACACCATATGGTCATGTGTCCCTATTTCCGTGGTCGACTATTAGATGTCCTCAAATCATACGATGCAGGTTGGAACCCAGCTGGCGGCACATAATTTCCCAGCAAAATTTGAAATCTTTCACTTGTCCCCAAAAATAGTTCTGTGAAAATTAATTCAGTGTTGTTGAAGATATTGTATACTTACAAACAACTCTAACTCCTAAAAAATAATGGAGCGTTTAAACAACAGAATGATGTCACAGATGGGTTTTAAGTAAAGAAAAAGGTGGTTAGTTTGAGATTACTGAATTAATCCCCATGTGGCGATTCCAGGTAAATAGGCCCCAGCAGTGGATCAGGTTGTCATGGTTATTGCTTTGGATGATTGCTTATCATCCCAACCCAAAGAAATGTTGCTCATTATATCAATCACTGGATTATCTGGTACAGGCTTAATTATTTTCAGGCTGCTTTCATATTGCTGTAATATTGCTGAATGCTGCGTTTAACAACACACACGTGCATACACATACACTAATTCATTAAAACACCCACAACCAATAGGTAATAAAGTGCTTCAGGTAAGTTAGGAAGATAGGTAAGTATAGCCCCTCTCAGGAACAGTGACTATGTAGGGTAGGTCAGCAATGAAAATAAACAGTGTCTGCCAAATGGTAGATAGCGTGTATCTCTGTAAAGGATATGACCACGTTATCATAGATCACATTCTCTGCCGTGGCTGCTGGGGTTACGTTACATTTAAAGGTACATCTTCAGATTTTGTGTTTATAGACCCTGAATTCTATTAGTCTGGAAACACAAATAACGAAATAAGACATTATCTAACATTAAAGTTTTATCAAACACACAGTGTCTCTATGTATATATCATGCCATCTTATTAAGAAATGAGACCTTATAATTTGTTTGTACTATGGGGCTGTGGCCTTACAGTTATATATGAATAAACTGACCTACACACAGTAAGCACAAGGTGAAGTTAATGCTTTCCATAAAAAACAGCAGGTCTAAACACATATTCAAGACCTAACTAAGCACATGTTCAAGACTTAACTAAGCACATGTACAAGACCTAACTAAGCACATATTCAAGACTTCTCTAAGCACATGTTCAAGACCTAACTAAGCACATGTTCAAGACCTAACTAAGCACATGTCCAAGACTTAACTAAGCACATGTTCAAGACCTCTCTAAGCAAATGTTCAAGACCTCTCTAAGCACATGTTCAAGACCTAACAAAGCACATATTTAAGACCTAACTAAGCACATATTGAAGACCTCTCTAAGCACATGTTCAAGACCATACTAAGCACATGTTCAAGAAATAACTAAGCATATGTTCAAGACCCAACTAAGCACATGTTCAAGACCTAACTAAGCACATGTTCAAGGCCTAACTAAGCATATGTTCAGTACCCAACTAAGCACATGTTCCAAGACCTAACTAAGCACATGTTCCCAGACCTGATTAAGCACATGTTCAGTACCTGACTAAGCACATGTTCAAGACCAAATGAACAAGGAGTGGTTGTATCGTGTGGTCCTTGCTATGAATACTAAACATTATGCCAAGCTGTGTTAGACGACCAAACTGTGGCACACATCAATGACTGGATGTGTTTGCTCAGCATAAGATTAAAAACATTTTACACTAATTTAATAAAACTACCTATGTAGACAAACTAAACCGTATGTGGAGATGTAAATAAGTTCAGTACTAGTGTAACCATGGAATTTTATTGTTATTGTCATTTAACTATTATCACATGACTAACCACAGGTCTGGGTAGTCCTGTGGGTAGAAAGGTCCTACTCAACCCACCCGACCCGAGTACCTGAGTTACCCTTCCCAGCCCTATATCGTAGTCTGATCTTACGTCTTTACATAATATGAATCTTGGCTGTGAAGACTTTGTTGTCCTTAAGACGACATCTCATCGCGATCAATTTTAGCAAAGCCTTCTTGAAACTCTGTATTTTGACAGCTCTGTGCATCTTCAATAGTTTTAATAAGCTTGAGGATACGTCAAGATTGTATCAAAGTGTTCCAAGATGCTAGTAGAGATACGTAGTCTCAGTGGACAATGCAACACCTTCCTGTATCACATGCCAGACACATCTCATCTTCTTCTAAAACGAGTTTCACTGCAGCTATTGTAATGGTGGAATGGTGGCCACCTGACTATTTTCATCAATATGGACGCATATTTTTTTCTAACCATTTATTCATCAACTGATGTCTTATACTTCAGTAAATTGAATAGTCATACTGTGTCTCTATATCTAACTTTCCTGGCTACCGTGATGTTAGCCGGGGTTCCGGGATAGATTTGGCCCCCAGTAATCTATGATCTGGTCATTATAGGCGACTTAATGGATCATCATGGTCAGACTCGGTGGCTTGGTTGATGGCGTGTGAACATGCCCTGAGGGTGTTGATTGTTGCTCATAATATCAGTCACTGGATTGTCGTGTCTAGGCTTGATTGTTTACTGGCTGCCGTCATATAGTTGGAATATTGCTGAGTGTGGCAGTAAGCTGTTCACCTAGAGATGCTATGTCCCTCCAACTATATACGTTGTGAAACTTTTCACCCAAGAGATGCTATGTCCCACCAACTATATACATTGTGAAACTTTTCACCCAAGAGATGCTATGTCCTCCAACTATATACATTGTAAAACTTTTTGTGCAGAGTTGCATCCCTATGTTTGTAGGTTCGAATCCCGATTCGCCCCGATTATCTTTCTAGGTTTGTCAGCACCATACCCGTGCTTGTGGGTTTCACCGAAGTGGTAAACATCTGAGGCCTGCATCACTTTGGACTTCCCCCCAACTTAAGCTGACACGCCATGATATAACTGGAAAAATGTTAAATGAGGCGTTAAACCCAACTCACTCACTTCTGTAAAATAACCATCTGGTTTCAATTTCAAAATTTTCACAACTCTGACCAACATATTTCTTGTACATTTGTCGCTGATTATTCATCTGGTTTGTCCTTTATTGACTTCAACATCAAAGTACAGAAACATCCGCTGGTGTTGCGCAAACTGGGGACTGAAGGGAGCACCAGTGTCCCCTCTGTTCCCAGGTTGCAGCTCAGCGGAACCCCAGTTATCAATGACCCGACAGGGCGGCTTATTGTAGTCGTGCATATATTTACTCTGCCTACATATTGAGTGTCGGATGCATGCTCCTCCAAGTACGCTGACAGTTCACTGTCAAAGGCTCTCAGTTGACGTACAGTCAGGATGTGTGTGACAATTTTTTTTTTCATATTTATTCCCGTCTCCTGGGCGCACGTCGATTCAATAAATGTTTTTGTAATTGACTCATGCTGAGTTGAGACCTAGTTTAATGCAAGCAGACCTTCAGGAAGCGCTGATCCTCTTTAACAATAAATCTGCCACAGCAGGGTGTCGGGCACTGTCAAAACTGAAACTTGAACATTGTCAGCAGCAAGGAAAAACAGATTGAAGTATATTTATGTAGGTTTCGTAAATTGTCCCTGTTTTACAACAGTCTCCTTCTTGAAACTGTCACCAAGCATGGCGTGTGAGATGAAATATTGTGGATACTAGTTTTTTTACCTTGTTTAATAAGTTGCTGATAAAAAATGTCTTTTAGATTAGAAGTGTAACGATACGGTAGGGTCCTGATATGATACAAATCAATTGAATTTAAGACATCACCAAAGCCTGTCATCGATTTACTGTTTAATAACTAGAGGATCAGCTGCCCACTAAAGAACATTAAAATGAAAAAGATTTATTGTTCTAATTTCAAAAGTCTTGTCAAGTTAGTCATCTGGCGAACACTGTGAATATTCACTGAACAGCAAAATGTAGTTTGACCAGTTTCGTTTAGTATATTAATCTGTTATTATACACAAATATTTTTACACCAATGTAACTTGTAATGTTTTGTTTGTATCGCGATACAGGGGTTGTGAATAAATGTTTGGTATTGAGGGCCTCATATTGACATACAACAATGTATCGCTGTATCATTCCACCACTAATAAAAAAGTTTTACAAACAGATCTGGTTCTAGGAATGGGGAAAGTTAGGGAATATCAAGTTAGTTTTGGACGTTTTGGATAAAAATACAGTAAGACTTAAACAAGTGAAAGGCTGACAATCTCAATCTTTAAAGCAAATTATATATGTTTGTCCTGTCTTTATCTCGTCGAAGAAATATAGCTATGGTCAAAGAAAACCACTTTCTGAAACCTCTAAAACCAACTTATTTTCACATTTCAGTCTTAGATGAACAGTAAGTGTTATAAGTTCAAAACATGCAGGTGTAATGAATAACGACGAATTCCACATCTCGTGGATATTTCTGACAACAAGTTTTTAAAGATTTGCTCATTTTGTTAATTCTACAGATCCTGCAGGCCAAGACAGGGCGTGTGATGTCTTCGTTGTATGAAACCCGTGTGGTTATGTTTCAGATGGGATTACAGCCTAAGCAAGGGCACTGCATCATGGTTTCACATCGTCAATGTCGTCCTTCATTCCATTGTCTCCATGCTTTTCACGTACATGTGTCGGAACGTGTTCTCTATCCCAAGAGAGTGCTCGATCACCGCGGGGCTGTTGTTTGCTGTGCACCCGGTACACTCCGAGGCAGTAAGTACTCATTCATACTCCCCTCGTTGTTATCCCACCTTAATGCAGGTAGACAGCCTTCAGCACATCAGACTGAATGAATGTTGTTTTACACGTCAGCATATATCAATGAATATTGTTTTACTTTTACATGTCAGCACTGTTTCAGTAAATGTTGTTTTAGGCCACAGTCAGCACTGTTTCAGTGAATGTTGTTTTAGAAGTCAGCATATATCAGTGAATGTTGTTTTAGACCGCAGTCAGCACTTTTTCAGTGAATGTTGTTTTAGACCACAGTCAGCACTATATCAGTGAATATTGTTTTACAGCACAGTCAGCACTATATCAGTGAATGTTGTTTTACGGCACAGTCAGCACTATTTCCGTGAATGTTGTTTTACGGCACAGTCAGCACTATTTCAGTGAATGGTGTTTTACAGCACAGTCAGCACTATTTCAGTGAATGGTGTTTTACGGCACAGTCAGCACTATTTCCGTGAATGTTGTTTTACGGCACGGTCGGCACTATTTCCGTGAATGTTGTTTTACGGCACAGTCAGCACTATTTCAGTGAATGTTGTTTTACGGCACAGTCAGCACTATTTCAGTGAATGGTGTTTTACAGCACAGTCAGCACTATTTCAGTGAATGTTGTTTTACGGCACAGTCAGCACTATTTCAGTGAATGGTGTTTTATGGCACAGTCAGCACTATTTCAGTGAATGTTGTTTTACGGCACGGTCAGCACTATTTCAGTGAATGGTGTTTTACAGCACAGTCAGCACTATTTCAGTGAATGTTGTTTTACGGCACAGTCAGCACTATTTCAGTGAATGGTGTTTTATGGCACAGTCAGCACTATTTCAGTGAATGTTGTTTTACGGCACGGTCAGCACTATTTCAGTGAATGTTGTTTTACGGTACATACAGCACTATTTCAGTGAATGTTGTTTTACACGTCAGCACTGTTTCAGTGAATGATGTTTTACGGTGCAGTCAGCACTATTTGGACGTATCTATGGTGTTTATGGTGACATTGTGGGATATTATCAGATTACCATGGTTTTGGACCCTTTAGTGTCCCACAGTCAGGGGGAGTGTCACCGTGGATCGGAGCATGAGAGTCCCTAATGGCTCACTTTATGACCCGTGACTATCAGTACCGTGTTTAGGACGTTGGATTTACCACAGTGATCAACGACTTAGAGCCGCATGTTCAGTGTTAAACTAGACACCCTCATTTATTCAAATATACATTCTGGAGTTCAGTAAATTGGACATGACCCAAAACAGATGGTGTCTAAAACTATAATCTTTATGATAAATATCCTATAAGTGAAAAGGCTTGTTAGAGCTTTTACAGATTCAAATTCTCACCTAAATTATTTAGGTTAAGGATTTTTCATAAAATTGTACTATGGACAGACATGTATCATGATATAACATTTATACTAAGTTTTCATATAATAATTAGATCCACAGCAAGTGCCTTATAAGTTATCATGTTTTAACATTTGTACAAAATTTCATATAATTATAGGACAGCGAGTAATACATATTAATCTAGGAAAAATGCAGATACAAAATATTATTAGTTTCAGTTATAGTGTTTAGAGGGATGCTAGCCTAAGGTAACAAGACCTCATCTCCCAGAGAAACTATTCAATAAGACAAAAGTTATGTCAACATTGTTTAATAGATTTAAAACTTTTAAATAAATACTAGCCTATTAGGTAACAAGATCCCATCTCCCAGACATACTATTCAATAAAACAAAAGTTATGTCTACATAGTTTTATAGATTGCCTTGAACTATTTTATTTACGTAAATCTGTCATCATCTATATTCGAATAACAATCGAATACTTCAATTTAGACTCATTAAGGATTAGCCCCATACAAGCTCATCTATAGTGATACCTTAATCTCTTTCCAAGCACCCAGTATATATGTCAACAAGATTAGTGCCAGTCCAACAGGATTAAGTATTCCCCTCTGTCTAGCCATTCATTTACCGTAGGGAACACCCCATTGTGTGTCAACAACCAATCATATTCCTTTTCATTGTTCTAATTTTTGATAAATGCACACAGAAGCCAAATGTTAAGCAGGAGGGGTTTGACACTCATACCAAGCAGACCTCTCTCCCGCATCCACAGCTATACTTAAGAAATTGTTTATTAACAAAGTAGGGTTCGTTTCCAGAGCATAAACCATTCAATATCTTTTCATGAAACTTTGCAGGTTTGTCAGGTACATGCTGAACTGGTGCAGTTTGCTATTTAGAAATTTTTGAAATTTTTATTTTTTACGTTTCCATGGCAACAAGATGGACTTCTTTTTTCTACAATTTCCATGACAAGTTCCACCTCGGTTAAAAAAGGTTAGGGTTTGTTTAGATTAAATTATGTCATAAATTCTGCAACAGGGGCGGGGGATATAACCACGTTAGTGGCAAACTCTTGTTGTTCTTGTAAATAAAATTGTTACTCCATCTCTTTGCTGACTAATTCCCCCAAGAAAAAAAGCACGCCATTTGGAAGGTTTTGTACATAATAATACATTTAAGAATGCCTTTTAGTATTCAATGGCATAAAGATTGTGTTAGTTAAATCGCATCTTGGACTGAATCCATTTGATGCTTGGGTGGTTCACAGCATTCTCCAGAGAAAACCATGATTTCAATGAATGTTGTTAAACTAAGCTGAACACTTGGAAATATTTAATGGCAATCTGTATGGTCTTTGGTTAACACTTGAATGAATAGAATTAACAGATCACCTGAGAAATATACGAACACAGGAAAGAATTTTCCTATTTTTATTACCTGTTAACACTGGAAGATATTCGGGGTCATATTCATGGATTCACATAGGGATACGGCTTGTTCTGAATCGGTGGACAAAGCCATCAAAATCCCATAGAAATTTGTCTTTCAGCCACTGCACGGTCTGGTTCTAATATGACAAGATATTTTAAACTTGTTGAACCATATGCAAACATTAAATACGAAGAATAGACATTGAATATGACATTCTGAATATGATGAATTGCAATTGTATTTTGAAGAAATAAAATGTTTGTTACCATTTAAATACAGATTAAACTTTTACAGTCTGTCGTTTATACTCCCTTTTAGAAACTTTTTGCCGATCAGACATGCATGTCATTGATACAGGTTAAACTTTTACAATCTGTCGTTCATTATTTGTCGCTCGTTCAGAAACATATTACAGAGCAAGACATGCATTTCACCCCTGGAGTCGTTATTAAATATTTCACTTTGAGACATGAACATATCTCAGGCCTCAAATTGCGACTAAAATGGTCGCCAATGCGACCTAAATTTCAATTTGTCTATTGTCTAAAATTCAGAGGTAGCCAAATGACTACCTTGAAAAATATCTTGTGGCGACTAAATTCTATTGCTACATATATGTAGACACACAAATAAATAATAGTTGATCTTGGAAGAGACGTCTGTTAATAATTGTACTCACAATAAATTCCTCCTAAAGTCGACAATGAACCGAAATACAGAAACATTAATGTAATTAGTGTTTTATTTCAGTTGACAATACTCATTGGATAAGCAAGCATATACCTATATAATCTAGTAACCTAAATTGCATCATTGTTCGAGTCATACATAACAAAAATCAAGTACAGTTTCCACTAATATACAGTTCCAAGACTAGTGCTATGACTTGTACATATGATAAAAGGTAATTTCAAACGCATTGGGCTACCTACACTATTGGCTTGACTTCTTGATTTTCCCACTGGCTACCTGGAAAAAAATACTTGTAGCCATATGTCTTCTTGGTAAAAATTTATATTTGTGGCCTGTGTCTCTTGAAAAGGTGAAGCATGTTGCTGACAGTAGAACATGGACTAAAGTACATATAGATTCACAAGGTATTGGTTGGACTCTAAGGGTGTTCTTGTAGTAGTGGGACAGTTATTGAAGGGGGTGGTCGGGTAGCCTAGTGGTTAAAGCGTTCGCTCGTCACGCCGAAGACCGGGGTTCAATTCCCGACATGGGTACAATGTGTGAAGTCCATTTGTGGTGTCCCCCGCCGTGATATTACTGGAATATTGCTAAAAGCGGCGTAAAATCGTACTCACTCACTCAGTTATTGAAGGTCAACGCCCTCTGCATTGAGGGTTTGGTACAGATTTTCCACACACATTCAAAGTAGATATATTCGCCTGATTTTCAATTTTGTAAAACTGTTTTGTTCCTGTGTTATTCATTTTATTGCAAGAAAATGAAAACTTTAATAACATAATTATTAGTAACACAAGAAACTTGAACTATTTGAGGACGTGTGTGCATACAGGTATACCTTGGGCCTTGTTCCACAAAGCGATCTTAGCGCTAAGATGATCATAACTCCCATACTTTAACATAGACTTACGACAGTCGTAGCTCTAAGATCGCTTTGTGGAATTAAAAATAAGGTCAAGGTATGTTCATCGGCACTTGCTGACGCTCTGATCTTTTATCCCATGTGAGCTCTAAAGTTGTTGAAGTGTTATTCAACACCGGAGGTAAGTACAACAGTATAGAAAGCATGACAGTATGGCCGGCCGGCCGGGGATTGCCTGACAAGGAACCTTTCATATAAATTTGAAATACACATACACTGATTTGAATGGTGATAGATACTGTGGATTTATTTGTTAAGAGTTTAAACATGGTTGAATCTTTTTTATGAGAAGGCATAAAGGAGCTTTGATCATGCGTGCAATGACAACTCTTTATTGGTGTGAAATACATCTCTCCATATTTACAACATAATGCAATGTATATAAAGATCAGTGTTCACGATTTGGATAAAAAGACAACAAAATGAGATTCCTTGAATTGAATAAGCTGACTTTCATACAAAGAACACATGTAGACAGGGTGTTGTGAGAAACACATTCTGTCTCAGATACTGTTCAAGTCACATCTTTCATTCAGAGATTGAAACACTTTTTAACATTGCTTACATTTCTTCTTCTTCTTGAAATGG